GAGATCTAGCACAGATACTCCCACTTACTCAGAGCTCCAACTCCCATCTTCGAGCTCCCCTGCCTGTCGGGAAAGGTACAGACGCCTTTCAACTGGATTGACCTGTTAGTCCCTGGAGCACACGGCAGAGAGAAAACCTTCGTCTTTCAGTTCAGCGTCTCATCCAGTGGGGTTAAGTGGCATGGCTGATGAAGTCATGATCAGTTTGTTGAGCCTAATGAAAGCCTTTCCCGCCGTTGTACTTTGGCCTCCACCTTGTACCTGGGGTGCTGTCTGCGTGGAGTTCGCATGTTCTCCCAGGGCGTGTGTGGGGTTCCTCCCACAGCCCACAGACCTGCTGGTGGGTAACTGGCTTCTGGGAGAACCGGTCCTGGTGTGAGCGTTTGTGTGTGTGTGTTAACTGTGTAGCCTGCAATGGAGTAGTGTCCCATCTGGGGTGTATCCTGACTTGCGCTTGTTGTTTTGCCAGGATAGGCTCCAGCTTCCCCGCAACCCTGAATCGGATAAAGCTTGGCTGGATGGAAAAGAAAAAACACTAACAGCATTCCTACATAAAACCAAGTTAAATAATACAAGAATATAGATGATAAAACTATACTTGTACTTCATACCAGCACCTCAACGTATTAGCTGCATGTAGGAATAACCCTATGACAAACATGATAAATGTCCTAACAAAAACAAAAAGATCAGTCCACGTGATTAAAAAAAACTTTATTATTCATGTCTTTTAACATATATTTATATATCATTTCCTTAAATAAAGCAAAGTGATTCAGTGCATTTTCAAACCAAGAAAAAATAATAATACAAAATAAATAAGATTCTCAATAATAATAATAATAATAATAATAATAATAATAACATTTGTAACAGAATGGCTGTGAATACTTAAATTAAGCATATCCGTTAATAAATAAATATCAATAAAAAAAACAGTGCTGTGCTAACGTGTCACAGTTTGAGAGTGTCTTTTAGCTATAGCAGGTGAGAATGACTGACAGAGATGAGGGAGATACAGTCACACACAGACACTGAGAAGGGGGAGAGAGACAGAGAGAGATGAGGAGTGACAGAGCGACACAGAGTCACATACAGGTGAAGGAGAGACATCAGCAGGATACAGACACAGAGGGATGGAGCAAGCGAGAGACGCATACTGTCAGAGAAGGAGAAAGACAAGCAAAAATGAAAAGATGCACAGAAGGTGAAGCATATTTTTCCACTTGAGTGCTTCCGAGGCCTGAGGGAGGGAGGTGTGCTGGAGAAAGCATAGCCACTTCCCTTAGAGGTCCTATGACATCTTGCAGTGAAGTTTTAAAGACATTGCAATTGTTGACTCAGTTTAGTACCCATGCATCTTAAATATATATACACATACATGTCATCCCCTGTAAAGAATAGTGCAATTACACAGAAACTGGCCATCATGGGGTGACGAGAAATCCCTTTGACGGGGTAAAAAAATTGTAAACTGTGCATCACCTTCAAAGGGAGGTCTCGCTCTCCCTTCCTTTTATGCTTGGAGAGCATCTGTCATGACACTCCTGGAAGGTTGTGTGTCCAAACAAACAGGGGAACTTCGCAAACCTGCTCAGATTCCCATTTGGAACGAGTGGAAATAACAAAACACACACACACACACACACACAACACGCGTGAGCACTTACATACAGTTGCATAAACCTAAAGCTCCATCTTCCTGCCCTGCCGCCTCTTCCTCTCCCTGCAGGGGGCGCTCTATGGAGAAGAGGGGATGAGAAGGCAGGGGCACTAGGCTCAGGGTTAAATCAGACTGACACAGACAAGGCAGAGGTGAGCTGAGGCCTCTCCTCTTCTTGCCTTGTTTGTAAAGGGCTCTTTACAGCTGTAAGCAGCAGAGGTACAGAAAAGGGGGTGTGGGTTTGACGATTCTCTCTCTGGTCTAGGGAGTGAATGGTCTTTGAATGAATTTTAAAACACATCTGTGGTACCATCCCCACTAGACTTTAAACACCTCTTGGAGAGGAGCCAGAAATGAGAGGAGGTGAGAGAGACTGGCAGGCGAGCCCGGTGTTAAGACAACAGAGAGGTAGACAGACACTGTTGTCCAGATCAGGACAAGGGAGATGAAGAGAGGTGGAGGATGTTTCAGAGTTTGTGGACAGGTCCGGAGAGTTGAATCTGTCTGGAGGCAGGAACCTGCCTTTGGTGAGTCTTGTGCCTCTGACTCCGAGAGGCAGCTGCTACAGGTCAGGGCTAGAGAGGACAGGAGGTTCTGGAGAGTTCTGATGCCGGGTGACGGTGTTGGCTGGGTTTGTGCCCAGCTGGAGAGTAAAGTTAGTAAAGTGTTCTGAACCTGACATAATACGGCCACTGCAGAGACACAGTGGAATGAGGCAGTGTTGGTCAGCAATCCTGGACCGTGTCAGCATTCGCAGGTATTTCTTCCAAGATTTAACACTCAGTCAGACAGTCTCTTCAGACTGGTCCCGGACAACCGAGCTGAGGTGAACACAGAGCTGGACATTAATACTGGACACCGTCACTGTTAAGACTGCCTTAAATCAGAAATGTGATGGACATACGCCAGGCCAGCTGCACGAAGTACCGGTCCAGCACTGGACAGCTCTGGGCTGGGGCTGTTCAAATCGCCCGCACGCTGGTGGCTCGGTTTGTTAAAGAAATGTGGACTGCTCCACTTTCTGCAGGCGGGGGGGGGGGGGGGGTTGACTTCTTACACCCCTGTAAGCTCACCACTGATTCCTGATTCATTCCTCCACTTCAATGACCCTCGTGTTGTAGTACCGATACTCTAATGGGTGACTTCCTGATTGTCTGCGGGTTTGTCGTCTCCACTTCAGATCCCTGCAGGAATGGTGGGAGTGAATCTTCCTTGGGCTCTGTGTTCAGGAGCTGTGGGACCATCAGCTTGATCCAGTTCTGGGGTGCTGCTGAGGCAGCCTGAACAGCATGGCAATTAATGAGACTGTGTGGCCTGTGTATGAGAATGGAGAAGGCAGGAGGGGTCAGTGGTATCTCCAGCTACCGGACGGATGAGCTGACCATCGCCCCAAGCCAGCCTGCCAGCTGGCCCTTGAACAAACAGAGGGCACTACAGGAAGTGAGGTGGAGGAGAAGGCAGGGGCTATAAGTCGCTGTGCATGCCGCTGTGCGGGTCCGGGTCGGGGTTGTGGTTCCGGTCCCGGTTGGGAGCGTGCCTCTCGCCCTCCTGCTGCGACACCATCTGCTGGAAGCGGGCCTGGCGCCGGTAGTCGGGGTCGATGTTGATCCAGTTGTTGGCGACCCACTTGGTGCCCTGGGTGACCACGCAACCCCCATGGAGAGAGTACTCGTCCAGCTCGCCCACCCAGCCTGCGGGCAGAGAGCAGGGCGTACAGCAATCCCGCGCACACACACACACACTGACTAAATTCATCTACCGCTGACTGAACTCACCTACGCGACTACACCTACATTACTACTGACGCGCGTTTTTTCCTCTCCTCTCACACTGCTTGTGCTGACCTGTTCCTTTTACAGTTGTGTGTCATTTAACCCCCTGCGGCCGCTGCTCCTGCTGGTGTTCTGTGTTTATGTTTCTGGCCATCCCCCCGGGTCGTTGTATATCGCCGCGTCCGCATTAACAAGCGTTTCGCCGCACTTGTGCGCGGGAGAAATAAACTGAACCGAACGCAGGACAAGGGGTGGAGGAAGAGACCTCTTTGTACCTTTGCCGTCGGAGAGGTAGTTGTACCAGAAGATGGCGGTTCCCTGAGTGGGCCTCACACGCAGGTTCCCCTTGTCACAGTTCTTGCGGGTGTCCAGCAGGTCGATGTCGTTCTGGATCAGAGACTGACACACACACACACACACGCATGGAGTCGTTACGGTGGCTGGCCCACACGCGAGCCCGGTCTCTGCGCCCCATGATGCACCGCGGGCAGCGCCGCCCTCCGCGGGGGGGGGGGGGGGTTAGCGAGCGCGGCGACCTCATGGGCGCCCCGCGTGAGGCACAGGGGGGGCCAACAAAGGACAGAAAAGACCACGACGCCCCAGCTTTGAAGATGGGTGTGTGTGTGTGTGTGTGTGTGGGGTGCTCAGGTTTCCTCACACAGTCCAAAGACTGTCCAAGGACGTGTTGGTAGGCTAACGGACTTCCGTGCAAAATCCCCCTGGTATGAGTGTGTGCGTGTCTGTGCGTGCGCCCTAAGATGGACGGGCGTCCAATCCAAGGCGTAGCCTGCCTTGCACCCAATACTTTCCGGAATGTGCTCCCAGCCTATGACCCTAAACTGGACGAGCAGTTATTGAAAGTGACGTGATGGGGGTGTTGGGGGATACTGTTGTCAACAACGGACTAGAAAAAAAGCAGCTAGAAATCAGTGCATAAAGTTACACATTAATACACTCCGTCAAGCTGAGCTCAAGAAGGAGTCGCACACAGCAGCGGGGAGAATCTAACCCCCATGGGACAGGGACACAGGCTCAGGGAGGGGGGCTGAGTCCCGGCGGGGCCAGGGCAGAGCTGGCCTCGCCACACCGAAAGACTGAAAGGGTGAAAACGCAGAGCCCCGGGTCTTCAACAACAAACAAAGTCTCGGTATTTAACAACCCTGTCCTGCTACATCTCCGCACCTTTGGAAGGCTAACGGGAGACATTCTAGAACACAATCATTTTGCCCCATCCAAAATATTTTTGCGAGTGTGAACTATTAACTTTGAGTAGCATCCAAAATGCAAGAACCGTGGTCTGGGACCTTCTAGCTCTTTTGGTTACTAGTGACTAATTGACCCGAGGGTGTTTCTTGAAGGACACCAGGGTGAACAACATGGCTGGGATGCATCCAGTACCACAGACCCCTGCCCTGGTTTACCAGCTCCTCGTATGTCCTGTTGTCAGCCACAGGAAAGGCCGTCTCTCCCCCTCCATCCACTGTGTTCAGGTAGAACAGCACTGTGATGTACCTGCAACAGCCAGGAAACACGCAGGGCTATGAGCATACAGGCAGAGCCACACACAGACAGATATAGAGACAGACTGGCACAGAGACAGAGCTACACACAGACATTTACAGTACAAGACAGACTGGCACAGAGACAGAACCACATACAGAGACATATATGGTACAAGACAGACTGGCACAGAGACAGAACCAAACACAGAGACCTATATGGTACAAGACAGACTGGCACAGAGACAGGCAGACAGAGTATCTGACCGGCAGGAGGTCTCGAAGGGTGTGGAGGCGTTGGCGGCCAGCTTGGTGTGGTGGCAGACAGTCTCGGGGTAGACCGGCCCGCTGTCGTGGTGGGCGTGGTAGTGCCCGCCTCTCTCGTAGCGCACCACCTGCAGGGGCTCGCTGAGCTCCACCAGGACGGGGGGCAGACGCGTCAGCCGGGTGACCCTGGGCAAGGGGGCAGGCGCTGGTTCAGCTCGTGGCGTGCTTGCAAAGCGCCCACACGCGCTCTCTGAAGTCAGCGTTCACCCCAGTCCCCCCTCTGACCTCTCTCGCAGGGCTCTCAGCACGCGGTGCGCCCCCTCCCCCTGGTACAGCCAGGTGTGCTTGCTGTTGCGGACCAGCTGGCTCCTCTGCACCCCGCGCTGGCGCAGGAAACGCTGGAACGCGTTGCTGCTGAGCCGCTTAAACTCCTCCAGACTGAGCAGCCCTGGCGCGGACAGACGGACAGGAGAGTCGGTCGGACAGGAGACGGGGGGGGGGCACTCCCTCAGCAACACAGACAAGAGAGCCACAGAGCTAGAGAGAGAGGCCTCTTCTTTACACAAAGTGTGGTGGGAGTATGGAACAAGCTCCCCAGCCATGTTGGGGAAGCCGGTACCCTGGTTAAGTAATGGCTTGACGAGATCCTGGGATCAAGTCGCTGCTAACTACCTCACGGGCCGGATGAGCTGAATGACTCCCCCCACTCGTGAGTGTTCCCATGAGACAGACCGACCAGATGCACGGGCAAGAGAAGGTCGGGCAGGGAGCTCAGACAGAACCACAGGCGAGAGAGCCGCAGAGACAGGCAGAGGGGTCAGACAGACCGAGACACGTGGGGGACGAACGGACAGACAGCCAGGACAGGACAGTCAAACACACAGGGAGGGTAGAAAAACGCAAAGAAACCCAATTCTGCCTGAATCAGAACTGCTTCCCGTCTACCGGGTTTCATGTTGCAAATGTCTTACAATAATGTTTTTACTGTCGACGTCTGCGAATGTTTCCGGTCTTACTGCTTAGGCCACAAAGTAATTCATCGGTCATGCCAAGCCAGCTGTTTGAACCTGAACTTGAGAGGGCACAAGGACAGGCAGGGAGATCGCACGGACAGAAAGAACGACAGAGGGAGGGGAGTCACACAGACAGAGAGACAGGCAGCAGTGCCAGATACCCAGCACTCGTGGGATCTCAGTTTCCTCATTATCCACCTCCCTCTGCCTTCCTCTGGGAGGACGGGGGGGGCTGCAGGTCAGGGGTCAACCACGGGGGTGAGCGTGTGGTTACTCACGGCTCAGCGCACGTCCGGCCAGCTGGACGCACTTCCCCTCCGGAACCCGGGATCAGTACCTTTCAGGAGGGAGGGTGGGGGTCGGGGAGGAGGGGAGGGGGGGTTCCTCACTGTGATGTTAATGAGAGACGGGGCACATCTGCCAGCGACAGCGGACTCCCAGTCTGCCTGCCCTCTCGCACACGAAAACAAAAGTGGCAGAGACGAGGGACGAGGGACGAGGGACGAGGGACGAGGGACGAGGGAGGAGAGGAGCCCCTGCCGGCCTCTCCCTGCCCCGCGAGAGATGGACGATCCACAATCCTGGTGCTTCCTACCGTTGCCATCCGGGTCAGCCTTCAGCCCAGCGTAGATCTCCCGCAGGCTGTCCGGGGTCAGCCAGATCCCATCCCGGACTCGCGAGTGGGTCAGGACCTGAAAGACAGAGTCTTTCCTAGCCCACACTGGACCGAGGGAACCCGTGCGGAGATGCCCTCTCACCCAGCCTCCTCCCTGGACCTGCCCCTCACTGATGCTACGCTCCCACCCTCCACCTCCCTGCGCCCCCGAGTCTGTAGCCACCCCATGGGTCCCCCCTCTTCTGCTCCCTTTGCAATCCCTCCCTGTCCACTCCCCAGTCTCCCCGACTCTTGACCGCTCACCTCCTGCAGCTGCAGCTGCCCGTCCTGGTTCAGGTCCAGCAGGTTGAAGATCTCCTCCGGGCTGAGCTCCAGCTCCTCGGCCAGCTCCTCCCCACCCTCGGGCGCCATCACCTGGCTCTCCGTCAGCCCCTTCAGCCTCGCCAGCTGCACGATCACCTGGCACTCCTCCTCCGTCAGGAAGCCCGGGACCTCTGTGGGCGGGGCAGGGACATCGGCACGATTACAGGCGAGAGGCAGCTAACTGACGTGACGGTCTCACCTGGCCGTTACTTGAAAGAAACCAAGCAACACGGCTTGGCGGCTTGCTCCACACCCCCACATCTCTTTGCGTAAAGACGTGCCCCCCCCCCCGTTCTGGGTTTCAAATGCACAGTGTCCATTAGACTGCATTTCCCTGAGCTGATAACGAAAACATCCTGTGGGGTGACTGGCAAGGTCTTTGAGGGTTTCGACTGCTTTTATCAGGGCCCACTCGCAGTCTTTCTCTATTAGAGACTAGAGAGCTGCTGGCTCTGCAGCCTGTCAGTGTAGGACTTTCCCTTCAGCTCCACATTGTATCTGGTAGCACAGGGGTGTGGAGAGGAGGCTGGTACAGCAGTTAAGGAAACGGGCACTGTGAGGGGCGAGCACTGAACTCTTCTTGAAGTACAGAGGCAGACACAGGCACCGGCACCTCCCGCCCGGAACGAGGTTACTGGCCAATTCAGTCAGCCTGACACTACTGTCTCGTCTCGTACTCGTCAACGATCTCTTTTCGCTGAGATATGGGCCAACCAGGCCTTCAAAAAAAAAAAGAAAGAAGGCGGGCCAGCCATGCCCAGGAGGGTCAGAGACACAGGTTTTCCAGAACGCCGCTGCGCGGCCCCGAGCCCTTGTAATGGCCAGGGGTGCGTCAGGAGCCCACAGCGCCCTGCCGTGGGGCTCTGAGGGTGAAGTCCCCTGAGCGGATTTCTCCTCGAAAGCCAGGCGGCCTCTCGGGCCGATGGAGTGCGTTCGGCAGGGAGCCAGGGATGGTGCACCGGAGGGCCCCGCTGGCTGAACACAGGCCCAGGAGGGGCGTGGCGTGGGGGGACTCCTGTGTTTTTTTTTCCCCCCCGCTCGTTAACCCATTCATTCGCAACACCTCACTGACGGATGCCCCCTGGAGACCGACGGTGCCGAGTGTAACCCTTTGTCCGAGCTGTGCCACAATAGCAGGCGGGTGGGCCCGCCAGTAGCACCATACTCCCCGTCTCCCTGACTGCTGGGCAACCAGGGGGGACTGCCCACTGCTGAGAACACATTTCATGTAAAACACCCACTCTCCACACACACACTCCCCCCCCCCACCTTAATCCTGCTATTGAGATGCTCAGTGCCCGAGATTGCTGGCATTGTTTTCAAGGCTGGGCTGGGAACTGCCTGGGCTCCTCTCCTTGTCTCTTTTCTCTTGCTAAACCCCCGACATAATAACGTAAAGACCATGTGAAAGGCTGACGTCGAGGGGCCATTCAGCCCAAACGGCCCGTTGTGGTGCCTCGTTGATCTGAGGGTCTCGTCCACCTGTTTCTCAAAAGAAACCAGGGTATCGGGTCCAACGACCGGTCTGCCCAGCCTGCCCCACATTTCCACAAGCCTTTGTGTAAAGGAATGCCACTAGTTCTGTTTTGAATGAACTTCCAGCAGCTCCCAGCTGGCAGCCCACTGGAGCTCAGCAGGTTTGAGCCTGGCCAGTACCTGGGAAAGCTAAGGCTACTGCTGGAAGAGGTGTTAGTGGGGCCAGTAGGGGGCGCTCACCCTGCGGCCGGTGTGGGTCCTAATGCACCAGTATAGCGATGAGGACACCATACTGTAAAAAGGCGCCTCTTACTGTAAAATAATAATAATTATTATTGCTTCCCTGTAGTTCGACCTGTGCCCATCGCTGAAGAACTCTGCTGGGTTGATTTTGTTAACTCCTTGTTTTGAAATCCACTCCCTTCGTAGTCTTCTGGATTAAGACTAAAAAGTTTCAGCGTCGCGGTGGGACAGAGCTCCAGGGCCGGGGGTGTGCCAGGCCGATCCTCTCTGCACTAACTGCAGAGCTAACAGCCACATCTCTTCCATCAGAATACGAGGGGCTCCCCCTCCCACGTCACACCTGTACCCACGAGGCGCTCCACTCCTCCTCCTCCTCACTGGGCTGACCGCCCCTTTAAAAACAACCAGAGCGAAGCCCCCTCAGGGCTGCTCAGTGTTGCCGTCAGGTCCCGGCCCCTCACCCGGCCGCACTGCTACTGTTACAATGGCCCCACTCCCCATTCCCAGGGGTTGGCAGGTGCCTGCCCTTCAAATCCCCACGGGCCTCTGGTTTCCAGAGGGCAAGTTGGCCGTCAATAAAACCTACATGCACGGCATTTTATTCAACAAAAGAAAGATTACAAACAAGAAGCAGCCGTTCAACCCATCCAGCCTTTCTGGCAGTTAGCAGTTATGTGATCCCAGGATCGTCACTGGCTGCTTTCATGAGAGAAGCCAGGGTATCGGCTTCAACGACATGGCTGCCCAGCTCGTTCCACGCCCCCACCCCCTTTGCTGTAAAGGAACTCCTCCTGTTGGCAGTTTTAAAAATCACTGCTGCCTTACTGGAGCCGACCCAGATGTTTCCAGTGATTCAGGATGGTGTTAAATTAACCCCCCCCCCCCCCCAAAAAAAAAAGATTTCAAGACTTGAACGATAACAAGGCTTCAGAAATGTCCCTTTCGCCGCGCAGACCCCAGGAGGGGTGCAGTATCAGGAATGGGAGGAGGACTCGGCTCTGTCCCCTCCAGCCTCCTCTCTTCCCTCTGGCAGGAGCCTGGCGCTGCGCCAGGGATCCAGGAATTCCTGGACGGCGTGGAGAGGAAGCAACCAGCTTGTCTGGGCAGGAAGAGGGGCAGAGGGGCGCGAGAGGAGTGGGGGGGGCAGCCACCCCCTCACCAGGCTCAGCGGGCTTTACAGCAACAACACCGGTCCTGTCCGGCGACTCAGAGTGCCACCGCAGGGCAGCCGGCCTGAGAACCGATTTGAACTATAACCTTCTAACTCTGCTCAAATCCGCTGCCGTAGGAAGAAAAAACAACACTGGAAAACAAAAGTGACTTAGAAAAATGTCTGTCACTGTTCACACGGTAATACCACGTTCATAAATAAGTATAAAATGTATAAAAGCTTTTTTAAAAAAAACAGAAAAAAGGCGAATCACAAAGAGTGACTGTTAATTGCAAACAAGAATTTCAAAATGTTGTTAACATTCAGCCTTAATTTCTGAAAATAATGTATGAACTTCAAAGTCTTTGTTCGCAAATTTCCTCAACAGCTCGTTGCTCACAATAGCTGCCTGCAGGATTGACTCGTGGTCCCCCTCAGAGACTATGCAGGGGTCCTGAATACAATGGGCGGTTTTCACACCCACTCCCAGCAGTGTGTAAGACCTGCACTCACAATGCAAGTCTTCTTGGACAGAGCCTGTGGCAGAAACTTTAAAGGGCATTTCTGCACCTAATATCTTACAACTGACTGAAGATATATTTCTGCCTCTGATCTCATTTGAATTCATTATTCTTCTTAGTTTATTAATAAACTTTATTATTATTATTATTTTTATTATTATTATTATTCAACAATTTAATGAGGCCCAAAATGGGGATTCTGTGCCAAGTGCAATTTCTTCAAAAGGACAAGGCAAAACAACGGATTGAGAACCTCGGCTTTCTACACACAAAACCACTGCGATCAGAGAACTAGCTGACAACCATTAAAACACACGTTTAATGAAGAAACTTCAGCACCTCTACTAAGCTAATACCTTTAATTTCTTTCCTGACGAAACAAAGAGCTCATTTGCAAAACTGGTACCACACTGAATCATCCGGAGGCCCTATTCAGGGACTGACAGAGCACAACCTACAGTATTACAGCTACATCCAGGGGGAACCAGGCTAGTGCAGAGTGCGACAGCATTCTAAACCCAGCTTTACTGCCTTGCTCTTGTAAAGCAAGGCTGGATTACTGCTACTGCTTCGGGAGGAAAGGGGGGCGAATGTTCGTTTGCCCAGTTGATTTTACAGAAGCCTGGACAGTGCAATGAAGACAGCTGGGCCACGCTCAGTGAGAGCAAGGTGACAGCAAAGTCCTGGTGATGCCACAGTGGCTTCCATCTTGCTGCAAGAGTTCATTACCATGTCTTCGGAGTTTTAATCCCACTCGCCCCGCGGAGTGACTTCATTGTCCCTGGGGCCGGGATTCAAACTGGACGGCGTCTGCATCCGGTATAACTTTCACGGAGTGCCGGAATGATCCCGAGACAAGACCTTGATTGACAGCAGTTCCGCACTACACCGGGAGGCAGGAAGGAAGGGGGGAAAATCGGAAGAAAACGGGGGGAAGAAAAAGAGGATCGAGGCTTCGGGCAGAGACTGAAATCCAAGCAGCGGAGGGGGTCTGACGAGCGAGGGTCAACGCTCGAAGCCTCCAGCTGTGAGGCAGCGAGAGGCGAGGCGGAAGAGGCAGCTGGTTTCAGAGGGCCAGTCGAGTCCCGCGTGGGCAGGACGAGCAGTCGCAGCCCCACCCCCTTCTTTCTCCCTGCACAGCAAACTCGGCAAAAACTAGCTCTGACACCCCCCCCCGCCCGTGCTCTCTCCTCCTCCACCCCCCACACCCTCAACTCTGCCCCCTCTCCCAGACTGGCCTTTCCATTGTTCCCTGCTCTCACCTCGCCAGCATGCTAACGCAGGCCAGGCTGAAGACGGAGCCTCGCCCCCCTGTATAAATACACCAGGACAGCCGGCACGAGCCCGCAGTACCCTGAGTTTCACAGCGCACTCCCTGCCTCCCTCCTCTTCCAGCTCTCCTGCTCGGAAACGTCCCGGACGATGCGACTCTCCCTGCCCTGGATGCTGCTGCTGCTGTTGCCGTGGAGCCCGGCGCTGGGGCTGGGGCTGGGGGAGCACCAGCTCTGGGACCTGGGCAAGTCCACGCGCTGCGTGCCCATCCCGGAGAGCATGGCGCTGTGCCAGGACATCGGCTACACCGAGATGCGCCTGCCCAACCTGCTGGGGCACGAGACGCGGGGCGAGGCGGCGCAGCAGTCCGCCAGCTGGGTGCCCCTGCTGGCCCGAGAGTGCCACCCGGACGCCAGGGTCTTCCTCTGCTCTCTCTTCGCGCCCGTCTGTCTGGACAGGTAAGGGTTGGGCGAATCCTGCGCCAAGGTCGCCTCCGGCTCCGTTCTTTTCGCCTCTCGGCGACTCGACAGCGCCTTCGCCCCCGCCGTGCGGCGGTAACGCCGTCCTCTCCGCGTGCCCCCGCAGGTTCATCTACCCGTGCCGCGGCCTGTGTGAAGCGGTGCGCCTCAGCTGCGCCCCCATCATGGCGTGCTACGGGTACCCCTGGCCCGCCATCCTGGACTGCGACCAGTTCCCCGCGGACCACATGATGTGCATCCCCTCCCTCTCCGGCAACTCCAGCGCCGGCGGCAGCAGGGGTGAGCTCATCCGGCCTGCCAGACTCCCACTGTGCAGCAGTCTGATCCACTCCGGGCTTTACTGTCTCTCCCTCACTGTCTCTTCTTCGCTGTGCCTATCACACTACCAGACTCCCACTGCGCAGCAGTCTGATCCACTCCGGGCTTCACTGTCTCTCCTTCACTGTCTCTTCTTCGCTGTGCCTGCCAGACTCCCACTGCGCAGCAGTCTGATCCACTCCGGGCTTTACCGTCTCTCCCTCACTGTCTCTTCTTCGCTGTGCCTATCACACTACCAGACTCCCTCTGCGCAGCAGTCTGATCCACTCCGGGCTTTACCGTCTCTCCTTTACTGTCTCTTCTTCGCTGTGCCTGCCAGACTCCCACTGCGCAGCGGTCTGATCCACTCTGGGCTTTACCGGTGCATTAAGGGCTGCCGAATCAAGATATTGCTCTGGCTTTGAGGGAGCGCAGACCCCAGGAGTGCTGGTGCTGTACTGTGCGGTCGCTGGGGGCTGATCACCCTAAAATCTGACCCACTGAACTACTTTTACAGAAGTAGCTGAAAGCCATAAGTAGAACAGTGGAGGAATCTTTAGCTTAAGGTGCTACAGTTAAGATGCCCCTTTGTGCCGATTACATTAACTAAGGAAAATTAAACACACGTAAACTCTTTGCAATAATTTACTATGCAAGTAGTTTAAATGTATTTAACTTAACTTAATGCAAGGCAAAAAAAAACACTATAGTACAGGCTGCAACTCCCAGCGGCAGCAATCCTTCACATTAAACCCGACATGCTGGTAGGGTAATTGGGTTCTGGGAAAAGTGGCCCTGCTGTGAGTGTGTGTGCATCTGTGTCTCTGCCCTGCGATGGACCAGTGTCCCGTTCAGGGAGCATCCAGCCTCGCGCCCGCTGCTTGCCGGGACAGGCGCCGGTCTTCTCTCTGACCCCGCGTGTCTGCTGCAGGGGTGCCCCGGGCCAGCTGTCGGGACTGCGAACTGGAGGAGGCCACGTCTGCCAAGGACGTCCTGGACACGTTCTGCGGGAACGACTTCGGTAAGGAGTTTCCCTTCTTTCTCCTTTCCTGCGCTCCCTCATCACCATCCTCATCCTCACCTGCATGATCTCCTGTCCTTGACTACTCTCCTTCTCTCTCGCGGTCACTCCTTCTCCACTCTTCCTCTCTTCTTCACTGTCTGTCTCCCCCTGCATCACTGTCTCTCCTTCACTGTTTATGTCTCCTTGGCTGTCTATGTCTCTTCCTTGCTGTCTCTCCTTCACTGATTCTATCTCTCCCTCGCTGTCTCCTTCACAGTGTATGTCTCTTCCTTGCTGTCTCTCCTTCACTGATTCTATCTCTCCCTCGCCGTCTCCTTCACTTTGTCTCTCCTTCACTGATTCTGTCTCTCCTGTCTCTCCTTCGCTGTTTGTCTCTCCCTGTCTCTCCTTTGCTGTTTGTCTCTCCTTTGCTGTTTGTCTCTCCCTGTCTCTCCTTCGCTGTTT